AATAACCCCATAGGTAATTCCCTTGAATACCTTATAGTTTTTTGACCATACTCACAAGGTATAGTCGCAAGGGACATATAGTAAAAAGGGTAAATTACTCAGTATACTTTTGATAAGCGTAAGTCTCCACACTTAAGAAAGTAGTGTTCTTTTTCACCCTGCTAATCGCTGCTCAAATCTATTTACCACCGGGTCTTACGTCCTCACCTCTTTAAAATTAGCCTCGAAAAGAAGTCTCAAATACTTTATTGGCAACTTGACTACCTTGCAGCCGATGACCCTTGCCAAACTATGAGATTCCCTCTCATCTCCCAATCTCACCAACTTAGATTTGACAATATTAGTGCTAAGTCCTAAAACCATCTGGAAACCCATCGACACGCACACACACCTCTGAGATTGAGCATAGGTCTGTTATGTGGCTCATAGAGTATCATAGCATCATCTACAAAAATAAATAGGTAACCTCCTTAGCGTGTTCCCTTACACCCACTTTAAGACGTCTAAATAAATCTATTTCTCTGGCTCTTATTTAGCATTTTATTCAGTACTTCCGTTGCCACAATGGAAAGCATCAGTGATAAATGATCACCCTGTCTGAGTCCCCTAGATGCCTGAAAGAAAGATGATGGACCTCCATTAACTATTATTGCAAAGGGCATGGTGGTGATGCTAGACTTTATCCATATGTGCTAGTTGTCCCAAATTATGTCTTTGTTAGTATATAATCTACAAAATTCCAATTTACATGATCATATGCTTTCTTCATATCAAGCTTACATAACATCCTTCTTTCCATGCACCAACTCATCCACAACCTCATTTGCTATTAGAACAACATCTAGAATTTGTCTGCCTTCAACAAAAACATGTTGGCATTTGCTGATCACTTTATGCATGATCTTGGCTATTCTCCTAGTCAGGACTAGGCAATGAGCTTGTAAACGCTTCCAACTTAGCTTATCGACCTAAAGTCCTTGATGTTATGTGCCCCTCCAACTTTAGCAATGAGCACAAGGAAAGGAGTTAAGGAATTTAATGAAAGACCAAGATTCATGCAACTCCTTGAAAAGTTAAAGGATATCCTTCTTTATGATGTGCCAAAACTCCTGAAGGAAATCCATATTAAAACCTTTTGTGCCTGATATCTTGTCTCTTTTGCACAACACAAGACTTTCAAGAATCTCTTCTTTTGAGAATTTTCTTTCCAAAGCTAGCTTGCTTGACTCATCCAGCGTCCTGAAATTGATGTAATCTAGTTTGGGTCTCCATCCATGCTCTTCATGGTATAATCTTTTGAAATAATCTCGACTCTCCTTCTTCAGTTGCTCATTCCCTTCCACTATCCTATCTCCTATTTTCATTATCTCGACATAATTGTTTCTCTTATTATGATTGATTGTATAATGAAAGTAGTGTGTGTTTCGGTCCCTCTTCTCAATCAATCAGGTTCTAGATTTTCATCTCCAAGAAGGCTCCTCCATTTGGATTCTGATAACTAGATCAAGCTTTAGAGACTCCCTACAAGTGTGATTAACATTTGACAAACACTCATCCTCCTCCCTTCTGTTAAAGGCCTCCATCTCCTCAAACAGCAGTATAGTGTGCAAGTTATACCTCTTCTCTTCCTCCTTGCTCTGCTTCTTAATCTAAGTTTTTCATGTACTTTAATTTTTGCACGACTTTGAAACTTGCCTTACCTTCTATACTTGTAGCATCTCACCAATTCCAAACCTTGTCTGAGCCATTGTGTTATGATTCTGGAACCAGGATTTTGTTACTGGGCGGTTAACAATAAAGTCCTTTTCAAATAAAGGGTTAACACCCTTGTTCTTATTGCAAGAGCGACATATTTTGTGAAAATAGATTACAACTCATTAAAGGGAGCTGTTACCTTTGATCTCGTTAGAAAGAGCTCCAATCTCGTTGTTTAAAATAATATTCTGACGTCTTTTTATTAATAACAAACGTACCATTTTATATAAAAGTTACAATTCTTATTTAGAAATCTTAATTAATTAGGAATATAAATTTAATTAGAAATATTTTATTAAAATATTGAAAATCTTATACTATTTAGGAATCCAATAGTAATGAGAAATTACATATTATTTAAGAATATAATATTAATTAGAATTTTCAATTATTTAGAAACTTAATACTAATTAAAATTCCATGTTTAATAGAACTTCAACCTCCTATTTAGTTCTTGTCTTGTCTTCCATATTTATGTCTTACAAATGCATTCATAACATCACTTCCCTCGTGGTTTTCAAGCTTGAAGTGTGAATATAGCTGACTCATTAGTATTTTCTTGTTGTCCAGTATCGCATCCAATCCCTAGGCAAAATAGTTTTTTTACATTGGTGACCCGAAACTAATAACTCATTGCAGTTATAACACAAGCCCTTTAATTTTATTTTTTTGTTCTCTGCTCTTGTTAGTTTCTTTATAACTGGAGAAGAAGCGTTACTAGATTGTGTCATGATGTTGTTACCATGTAGAATCGGTGTTTTCTGAACTAAATTATTAGACTTTGTTATAGATTGAGAAGAGTCACTATAATTGTGTTTGTTCATAACTCACAATGTTATTTTCTTTCAAAAGTTCTGGTCATGCTCATTGCGTGCATAAGAGTGGTGGATGATTGAATCTCGACCTCTAAATGGAGAGAATCGATCAATCTTGCTGTGAAAAAATTGACTTGCTGATCACGGTGTATCGTAGAGGTTTGTGTCAACAACCTTTGAAATTGTCGTTTATACTCCTCAACTGAATCCGTTTGCTTAAGGTTGACCAATTTGCCTAATGGGTTGCTTTGCAAGGGCGATCCAAAACGCAGGGTGCAATACTCCACGAATGTTTCTCACACCATGTTCGGCTCTTCCTGTTTTAGTTTATAGTACCAAAGTTAGACTTCTCCTAACATGTGAAAAGCTGCTAAATTAACCTTGTCGGAGGCGGCGATCCGCTGATTAGCAAAAAATTGCTTGCATTGATGGAATCATATTATAAGATCTTCTATTTCGTCGTAGGTAAGAAAGTCCAGCTTGGTGTAGCATGTGATAATTCCTTTGTTTCTTAGCTCTGTGTTTGTAGTGCGCAATTCTAGCTGGTTGTCAATATGATTGGATTGGATTGGATTGTATTGCTATTGTCGGGTTTTGTTTCGCCCTCAAATCTTTGCCGTGCGACTGGGTGGCTATCTGAAGAAGAGTTTCCATTTGCTGAGACAATTGTCGTAGTTTAGCACCCATTCGGGCCTCTGATTCACCTACCAGAATTTTCAATTTCTCATGCAATCTTTGCTCGCCCATGATGTTTGGATCTGATATCAATTTGTTATGATTGCGGGATCGGAATCTTGTCACTGGACAGTTAACAATAAAGTTATCTTCTAACAAATGGTTAACATCCTTGTTCTTATTGCGAGAACGAATTATTTTGTGAAAATAGATTGCAGCTTATCAAAGAGAGCTGTTCCCTTGGATTTTGTTAGAGAGAGTTCCAATCTCGTTGTTTAAAATAATATTCTAATTTCTTTTTATTAATAAAAGCCATACTCCTTTATATAAATGTTATAATTTTTATTTAAAAATCTTAATTTAATTAGAAATCTAAATGTAATTAGGAATAGTTTACTAAAATATTGAAAATCCTATACCATTTAGGAATCCAATACGAATGGAAAATTATATATTATTTAGAAATATAATACTAATTAGAATTTTCTACTATTTAGAAATCAAATACTAATTAGAATTCCATGTTTAATTGAACTTCAACATCCTATTCAGTTCTTGTCTTGCCTTCCATTTTTTTGCCCTACAAATGCGTCCATAACACATTGATTTTCGGCAACTTATATTCAAATTTGAACGGACATGGGCTCCACTTGGTCCCATCTGATACAGACAAATAAAATAATGATCTGAAATGTGATCCTTTGCATGCATTTTTTGCACAAATTTGAGACTTGTACCTTACAAGAAACCGAGACAAAAATCTATCAATTAAGGAGCACGTCAAATTGCTCCTCTGGTTGGACCATGTTCATTTACCACCCAACAACAAGAAGTTCTTCCAACTCCAGCTTGTCCGTAGTATCCTTGAAGTCATTAGCGGAGCTATGTGCTCCCTAGATCTCTCATTTCTATGTAGCACCATATTGAAGTCACATCCTGTCACCTAAGACCACTCGCACTTGCGTTTACAATCTTCCAGGTCTTTTTATAAGATTGTTCTCTCCCTCCCTCCCCTCTATTATGAAACCCTTGTGAAAATCCAACTCGGTCCACTTTTACGATCTTTAAGAAGGCAAGAAATGATACACTCTCCCAACAGGGTTTCCGCACAATCTGTAAACCCATTCTTCCATAACAAGAGAATGCCCCTAAAATTACCACTTGATGGTAATTCCTTCCAGCCAACATCCTGGATCTTCTACAGGATTCGGATGGTATCCGCATCCTTAGTCTCCATCTTCATTTCCTGCAAACAGATAACATCGGGATTTCATTTGCTCATACATCCACTGGTTACCTGTCTCTTATTATAGTCATTTTGTTCCTTGCAAATTACAAGAGATAATACGGCCAAACATCTTTTAATTAGCACTTCATCCCCCTTCACTCCTCCTGTTCCCCTTTCTTGGAACATCATAATTGACCGTGATCTGCAGTCTCCTTAACTCTCTAGACCCCTCAACCCCCCAGTTTTGACCATGATCTGTAGTCTGTAGTATTATTGATAAACTAAGTTGCTTGGATTTACGTGCAAGTTCTGATGTAAGTTAGTGTCAGACTAGATGATTTTTACAGTGAAAAATATAGGGACTCAGGCAATAAGAATACAGAAATTGGTATTGTGTACTTAGATTTCTTTGATAATAGAACTAATGTAAGGGTATAAGAAGCTAAGACATTGTTACCTAATAAAATAAATTTTTTGGTACAAAATAGATATTGGTTTCAAGTGAAAATAAGAAAAGAGGATATTAATTAGTAATATATATCTCATTAAGTATTTATCATGCACAAATTTTCGAGGTTTATAGAAGAACAATTTTTTTTTTTTGGAGAGGAAAAACAAAATAAGGTTAACGGCCACCGAAAGGATGCAACTCGTATACAAAATTACAAAGAGAAAAGATAAAAAAGATTGATAATATTTGTGTCATCCACCAAAGAGTTCTCTGGAAGAGTTCTAAATTAATGATATTTGATAGATGCAAAAGAGACAGAAGAGTTAATTCCTACCTTTCCAAAATGACTCAGAAGATAGAAAGAAGAATTAGAAAGAAACTTTTCCTAATGCTTAGGGGAATGGACGCCACTTCATGCCCATCGTTCATCTTTGATTGAGGCGGTAACCACCCAAGAAAGGTTGAGGAGGCTGAGAGTTGATTTCCATAACGCATTGGTTCATCAAGATTTTACTGCTCTTTATTCTGTCAGGAGTTAAAATCTGCCCCTAGCAACCTCCCACGAGAAAAAAAAAAAAAGCAATCATGGGAGTGGCCATGTTTTTCAAATGTGTATCTATGAGAAATTGTAAATATGAGCATTGGGCACTTATTGATGTAAGATGTCATAACTGTCAAAATGCCATCTTTTGTGGGCTTTCACACTGGTCCATCAGCCCGATCAGGTTGAACAGGAGGAGGAACATTAAGGTGATCCTTTAATAAAAGAAGAAATATTATTAGAGGAGAAGAGGAAGAAGTTACAGGACTAAGGCATCCACCAATAAAAAGAAGAAGAGAATACAATATTTTTATCTCAAAAAGAGAATGAGAATACAATATAAATAAAATAGTAACTTGAACGAAAACAGTTCCAAGTCAACTCAAAATCCAATTCAAATTGGATGTCTTTGTGATTTATTCATTGGCATGTGAGAATAAAAAATCCATTATTTTAAAATTGAATAGATGAATGTGTTAATTTGTTTATGCATCAAAAGCATAATTTATGATTAGTCTTTACATATCGAATGATCAAGTTCTACAGATGTTAGTAGAATAAGTTTGACTTGAACGCAATGATATCTTATTAACTTCTCTTAAAATAAGCACTCAAACCGAAAACCAATGCAAATGTCAAATAACGGATGCCAAAGTCTCAAAGTGACGCTTAGAATTCCAAGATCCAGTATTTCCATTTTTGTGCTCCTTTCAACTTCTAACCTAAGAGTTTTTGTTATTGCCTTTATATTATCATATATTATAATAACATTTTGGATCATCAAGTGTTTGACATGCAATGTTGAATGCATATCACATACTTATACCAACTTGTACTGTATCTAATGTTTATATGACACTACAATCAAAGAGTCTGAGCAACGAGATGGTAAAATACTCCTAGAGCATCAGTTTACACATTTCGGTTTCATAGCGCATGCTTATATGCAGTTCTATTTAGTTTTCATTGATAATCTCCACTCTCAGTTCTTTTGATTCTCTGATGTTTTTCCCTTTGTTGGACAATGTCAATACTTTTTATCCTCTCTAGTAAATTTTAGTTGTAAGAAAGCATGTCCATAATACATGGATGGCACCATTCTTTTGTTAAGTCTATTTTCTTAGGATTTAGATTTTTTTAGTCCCAAAAATAAAATCGAGTGACATTTCTTACTATAAAAAGGTTAAAAATCAATTTCTTTCTGACCTTGACTTTATACAAACATCTAAAAAACTTATTTAAAAAAAAAAAACATCTAAAGAACTAGATCAAGCATTAGCATGGAGTCTATCCTACAGAAACTGTGCTTTGATTTTTAATAAATATGCTCAAACTATTAGACGCAGACACGATTTCTGGTGTGGAAGTTTATTGCACATTATTTATGCAGGTATGTCCCATCTTTTATTCCACCTCCACTGCTATCCAAGGGAAAAGAATCTGAGAAGAAGGTCAGATTGAAGTCATGATACCTTTTGTTTGTTATTGGCGCAAGTGAGTTTTATGATCCTGTACTGTGTGTTTTATTTCTCAGTTTCTGTTCTTGCTGTTTAGAAGGAGGAGGAAAGGCCAAAGGAAAAAGAAAAGGGGAAGTCTCGAAACATAGATCATTTTATGGAGGAATTGAAGCATGAGCAGGAGATGAGGGAGAGAAGAAATCAAGAACGTGAACATTGGCGTGAAGGGCGTCATTGTGAAAGTTCTGCCGTAAGTTCATCCCATACTTCAAGACTTGTGCTTTCACATTCTTTCTAATATTTCGAATATTCATTATATAGTCATGAAATCTCTATTCTTACTGCCCATCTTGAATATTTGCATTACCCTTTACTGAAGTTGTTCTTTGTTCAGCCTTCTAGTCGATTCGATGAGCTACCTGATGACTTTGATCCCAGTGGAAAATTACCAGGATCATTTGATGATGGTGATCCACAGACTACTAATCTCTACGTTGGAAATCTTTCGCCACAGGTTATTTCTATTGATTTCATTCATTATCTTTAATTCCCCATTTATTATGTGATTAAGACATTGATTTTTTTGTCGGTTGCTCTTCTCATTAATCTAGGTTGATGAGAATTTCCTTCTTCGTACTTTTGGAAGATTTGGGCCCATTGCTAGTGTGAAAATTATGTGGCCCAGGACAGAAGAAGAGCGAAGACGACAGAGAAATTGTGGTTTTGTTGCTTTTATGAATAGAGTTGATGGACAGGCTGCAAAAGATGAAATGCAAGGTTTGCTTCTTCCAGCCTTTTCAGTTGTAGACCACTTGCGTTATTGTCCTTGTTAGAGATTTCTTGCTAACTATTTATTGGCTGCTTTGCACCTTGATTCCTGGTTAGAACTCCATAAGGGTGGTAACATTTTTAATGAAAACAAGCAACTTCTTTGGTGAAGTACCTAGAGATAGTTGCACCTCATCATAGATATCTCCTTTATTTCTGATTTCAAATTATCAACTGAATTATTAAAGAGCATGGGTCTTCCTCATAGGCCAGGCTGTATAACCCACATGAAGTGAGCGCACCCCATATTTATAGAAGTCAATTTTGGTTCGCGGTTCTTGCTTTATTTACCATCTTGAGAGGCCTATTATTATTACTGACCTCATTATTGCAGCTTCAAGTTCTTCAAGGAGGACTTGAATATCTTAGCAGAAGGTATAAATAGGGAGTACATATCTTTATGAAGTTGTGATGCAAAATGAGTAGCTGATAAACTAACTTGTCCTGCAGGTAGTTCAGTAATAGAGAACATTTAGATGAGAAACATTAGAATTAAAAGAGTCAGCATAAATTAGAGATCAATCTGAAGAAATAGAAGAAGAAATTAACAGAATAAGATTGGTAAATAGAACAATACTAAGAAGAATGAACATAGAGAGAGAGATAATAGAGAATAAAACCCTAGCAAAGAATTTCTTAATTCATCATCTAATAGTGCAATTCTTTTCGCCGTAGCTACTATTGTGAAAAAGGAAATCTATAGATTTTAATTTCTATAATATCTAAAATCTACTTAAAAAAAACTAAAGTATTTTAATGCAATGAATAAACATAAACAAACTAAATAACTTAAAAATATAAATAATAATAGTTATTGCAAAAAATTTCTCTAATAGAAAATTTATTTCAAATAAGATCTTGTTTTGCATCGAGTTGTCTAATGAAATCCTATTGAAGTAACAAACAGGAAAACATGTTCATGATGCATAGATCTAATTTAGTTCCCATAACATGATAGTGCTGAAAGTAACCATTTTTGCTAACTATTGTTTACTTGCGTGCTGCAAGATAAATGAAATGAGTGTGATAACCAAGAATGAAATGAATTATTTTTGTTTTCTTTTGACAGGAGTAGTTGTTTATGAGTATGAGCTGAAAATTGGATGGGGTAAATCTGTTGCTCTACCATCACAGGCACTTCCTGCTCCCCCACCCGGGCACATGGCGATAAGGAGTAAGGAGGTCTGTTGAAGTTCTGTTCTTTTAGTGCTTTCATTAACATCCATTTTTAGAGACAATTTTGATGCGTAAGCACCAAGTTTGCAGCATTTTTAAATTTTAAACAACTGCTGAAAGCTTCTTCCTGTTTCTCTACACTCTGATACAAAGGCGTATCTATGTTCTTGCTAACAGGGTGCCACAGTAATCTTGTCTGGTCCATCAGGCCCACCTGTCACGTCTGTTCCAAATCAGAATTCTGAATTGGTAGGTTATATTTTCTTTCTTATCTCAAAGCTCACTGTTTCTTTTAATACATGCATTGTGCTTTTTCTTGGGTTATCTTTTAGGAGAAGGGATATTCTTGTTATATTGTCTATTGACTTAGGCATTTAGTTAATGTAGGTAGCTTTGCAGTAAAATTTTTGTTCTTGATTCATGGATCTTTATCTTTAGGAGATATCATTTTGTTATTCTTACTCCTAATTATTGTTATAACCAATTTTATCTCCAGGTTCTTACGCCAAATGTTCCTGATATTACGGTTGTTCCTCCTGAGGATGACCACCTCCACCATGTGATCGATACGATGGCTCTTTATGTTTTGGATGGAGGATGCGCATTTGAACAAGCTATAATGGAGAGGGGCCGTGGAAATCCTCTTTTCAACTTCCTGTTTGAACTTGGATCTAAGGAACATACATACTATGTCTGGAGGCTCTATTCTTTTGCTCAGGTAGATCTTCCTATTTGCATGAGGTAACTAGCCTGAATATGCTTTGTGATCATCTGTTATTTTCCTTCTACCAAGTGGCAGTGCCATGGACATGGAAAACACAACCCTTCTTTTCCCTTTTGTAATATCATATCTTTAACTGTAAAATATTGTAAATTGAATCATTACAAATCTTTGGTTGCATGTTAACATTTCCATGTTTGTGGAATATAGGGTGATACTCTTCAAAGGTGGCGAACTGAGCCATTTATCATGATAACTGGCAGTGGAAGGTAATTCAAGTTCAAAAATCTTAACTTCATTTCTAAGATTGCTAGAACTTAATAACAAACTTCTTGACAGAAAAATAATAGGATACTTGTTGTTGTTCATTGTAGATGGATACCACCACCTTTGCCAACTGCTAAAAGCCCAGAGCATGAAAAGGATTCTGGCACTACCTATGCTGCAGGAAGAAGCAGGGTACTTCACATTTTACTGGCAGGATTAAATTTTTTTGCAGTTTATTGATTCTAAATCACCTATGGTTCCTTGTACAGCGAGTAGAGCAGGAAAGAACTCTAACTGATCCACAGAGGGATGAATTTGAGGACATGCTGCGTGCTTTAACTTTAGAAAGGAGCCAGATAAAAGAAGCAATGGGTTTTGCACTGGATAATGCTGATGCAGCAGGAGAGGTAGGGAGTATTAGAACATTTTCATACTCTTACATTTGTGGGCACATTGCAAAGTTTTCCTTTCAAAATCAGAAATGATGTTGCCTGGGCATCCGGCTATATTTTTTATTCCTGATATATTTTGACGTAACAAGGACCATTTTTTTTTAAGATGCAGTTAGTGCTACTTACACTTTTTAATGACATAATAATAGATTATGGTCAACCTAACAAGACTTACAATGATATTTAGTTACTAGAAATGAAATGAAAAAGAAAGGGTTTGTCTTCATGTGATTTCTTTTCTTTTACAGATAGTTGAAGTATTGACGGAATCTTTGACACTCAAGGAAACACCTATTCCAACTAAAGTTGCTAGGCTCATGCTTGTTTCTGACATTCTTCACAATAGCAGTGCACCTGTGAAAAATGCATCCGCATACCGCACCAAATTTGAGGCAACATTACCTGACATCATGGAGAGCTTTAATGATTTGTATCGCAGTATAACTGGAAGAATCACAGCTGAGGCTCTCAAGGTAAGCTTTGATTAGAAGTATCTTCTTGATGTCCTCTTTTTGTTTTGTTTGTTTCTCATGATCCTCATATCATGTTTGTTTGATTCTCTGTAGGAACGAGTTCTAAAAGTATTGCAAGTATGGTCAGATTGGTTTCTGTTTTCAGATGCATATGTAAATGGATTACGAGCTACTTTTCTTCGATCTGGAAACTCTGGAGTGATCCCTTTTCATTCCATATGTGGTGATGCCCCTGAAATAGAAAAAAAGTCTAATTCAGAAGATACAGGTGATGGAAGTAAGTCAAATCAGGATGCTGCTTTAGCAATGGGCAAAGGAGCAGCTACGAAGGAGTTAATGAGTCTACCCCTTGGTGAGCTGGAAAGACGTTGCAGACACAATGGACTCTCTCTTGTTGGTGGTAGAGAAATGATGGTTGCACGATTGCTAAGTCTGGAAGAGGCAGAGAAGCAGAGGGGTTATGACCTGGATGATGATTTGAAATTAGCACAGAGTTCTGGTAGGCATCTAGCTGCTCGGAGAGAAATAAGCACCGAGGCAGAGCCAGTGGGATTATCCGGATGGAATCATTATGGTGAGGATGAGATACAGCTACAGAATAAAGAGCCTGTAACTTTGGCCACAACAACCCTTACCATCCCACAGCCTGAACTAAAAGTGTTCACAAGGAAAGAGAAAGCTGATCCTGTTTTGCCAGCCTCTAAGTGGGCTCGAGAGGATGATGATGAAAGTGATGATGAACAAAAAAGAAGCAATGCGGGTTTGGGATTGAGCTACTCATCTTCTGGAAGTGAGAATGTGGGTGATGGCGCCAATAAGGTAGATGATACTGAAGTTGTGGCTGATGCAAGCGTTCCAGCACAACCTGATAGTGGAATAAATGAAGAGCAGAGGTTGGATCATTCTCCCACCAAGCGTAGCTGTCCTAGCTTCCTTGTTCTAATAAAATCTGGTTTTTTGGATTTAAAACTCCATTTGCAAAATAAAGATTTTAACTTTGTTAAATTAAAAATGTCGGGTTGCTCTAGTAGTTTAATATTGAAACAACATTAGCGTAAGTCAAACTTATCTTCTGATTCTAATTCTCCGATTCATTGTTTCTTTTTAGTATGCGATCTATGTCTTTCTTTAGTAGATTGAGGAAAAATAGATCTACGTCTATGTACATAAGTATATATTGCCTGATTTCCATGCATTCAGTAATATAGGTAGCATATATATTGTCTTGTAGTTGATTTTCAAATGTGTTTGACTTTGCTTATGGTACTGCAGACAGAAATTGAGACGTTTGGAGGTTGCTCTGATAGAATATCGAGAATCTCTTGAAGAGCGAGGGATCAGAAGTTCAGAGGAAATAGAGAGGAAAGTTGCAGCCCATCGGAAACGGCTACAATCTGAATATGGCTTATCTGATTCCAATGATGATACAGGAAGCAGTAAGTACTCTTTTTAGAGGCTAACATATGATTTAAATTTTACATTATCACTTTTTAAACATTTGTTTAGGTGCTGCTAGCATACATTGTTTAGTTCATTCTATTCAAGCTTTAATTTTAATGCATGGAAAATTGAAGATCCCCTTTTTTATGATTGGTTCAATTCTTATTCTTATTTCATTCATTTACCTTAATTACTAAAATAATTTGATATACAGAATTGGATCATAATTGTCGCATATGATTTACAGTGATCCAGTTATGCCTGCCTCTGTACCTTGTTAATTTATTCTTTTTTCTCTAGTTCTGCTCCTATCTTGAATTCCTTATGGATGGATCTTTTATTTTTTACTTGGCTAAGTAGAAATCGGAGTCCACCTTGCTTGAATTGAAAACTGACAGCGAGTATTATTTTCATTCAAACATTTCAATTTTTCTTCTTTATTTGAATATTTATTCCCTTTATTTCAAAAACAAATTGAATATTTATTCCCTGAAATTAGAACTCTTTGAACCAAACATACTTTTCTTTGAACTAAATCTAAATTTCATTTTATTGTTGGGGTTTATTGTTTATTTTGAATTAAAGAAGATTTCCTATTTCACTTAGACTTTATTCGTAAGATTATTTAGCGGGTCCATGTGGAGCATAATCCTTAAGTTAAGTTTGGTCCAAATTCTAATTTTATGGATTGGAAACAGGAATACAAATAGAAGTAGAATGGTATTTTAGTTCCAAGTATTTCCTTGTCCAATTCACATAAAGTATTTTTGTTATTCTTTATTGGCAGTTGGAATAAAAATTTATAGTTCTGGGACTGAAGGATAAGTGAAACTGATTCATTATGTTTTTAATATTATGATTAACTCTATTTATCAGGTAACTAAAATCTAAGAATTTAATAGGAATCGGTTGGATTTGAACTAAAGGCTATGTAGGTTCTCTACATTAGGATTTCAGGAAGAACTGATTTATGATGGCTTTTATTTAAGCATAACTAACTGGTCTGATCCTTGCTCAAGTTGTGTGTCCAGTTTACTTGATATTTGCCTCCTAGGATTTCCTTCATTGTTTTAAATTTGTGTTTTGGTAATTGATGACTGTTTGCATGATGACTGATGGTATGTGCTGCCAGTGAGAGCAGGGTTGAATCTCTTGCTGCCGTCTTCTTGATCATCATCGAGAAAATTTTTATTTATTAATTCATTTTGCTGAGAGTAATCACCCTTACGAGTTCTGACACGAGCATTTTATGTAGTGATGCACGTTCCTATCCACCGTGCTGTCTGGATCTTTTGTTCTATTTCATGCTTACTTAATCATTTAATTATTATTATTACTATTATTATTGGTTATTATTATTATTATTATTATTATTATTATTGTGTTTTATTTGTTTTTAATGCTTGTAAACTTTTATAGGGAGAAGGGACAGGCGAGATGATGCTCGTGAATCTTCAAGAAAGAGACACCGCAGCCAGAGTAGAAGTGAAAGTCCTCCAAGGAAATCATCGAACAGAGAACGAGAGAGGGAAACTGATTCAGACAGGGATCGAGAAAGGCACAGGGATAGGGATAGATCTAGAAGTCAAGATTTGGAGGGTGAAAAGGGCAGGGATCATCGTGAAAAGAGTGGAAGCCGGGAGAGAGATGATCATGACAGGGACAGAGGCAGAGAGAGGGACAGGGATAGGAGGAGACGAGCAAAATGAGGCTGTAGTTCTCTCTAAATTGATTCAAGGATTTCTTCAAGACATCTCTAAATGAAATGTTCTACGTGGGAACCATTATTTGAATATATGGGTGGCGTGGCCTGTGGAGAAAATCTGACCTAGATTTTGTATGGACGCCAAAGCATGAGTCTCTGTCCTGTTTGAAATTATGTCTGGAAGAAGATACTTCTAGTGACATGTGAGAGGGGATCTAAGTCATATCAAACTGTATTTGTCAAATTGTATTTTAGTTACAGTTAAAATTTTTTGAATCTGCTTTTATTTTATCTTTTGTTTATTGACTCATTCAATCCAACCTTGGGGCTAGTTTTCTTTTGATACAAAGTGGAGATAAAAGAGGAATTTGAATTATTGAACACTACCAAAGAACTGTCATACCATCTAAACTCTATATGGATAAAATATTTTTAAAATTTGCTGTTGGTTGTGTACAGTCTTTATTAATTGTTTTTCTGATTGGAAAACATTTATCTTACTTTAAAAAATTTATCATTAGTTAATTTGTTTTAATCCTTAAATTTTGCTCAAAATATGGGAATATGTATACATATATTTCTTTCTAGGATTATGTAGTCGGCTTGACGAACGGAATGTATTTGACATTAAAATTAGGAGAATAATACTGTCAATATGGGTTACATATCAAATTTTATATCAATCACAATACTGATCAAAACTGAATAAATAATTTAAGTTGCCCACAAGCAACAAACAAAATATATTTTGAAGTAAAAAAATAAGAAATAAAATAAACAATTATTTTTTAAATTAAAATGTTATAATTTTAAAAAATAAAAATCAAATCCAAAGCTATTATTTTATGTAGGATTGAGGTCAGACATTAATGTTTGAATTAATTTATTTGCATGATGTATTCTATATAATATTTTTAAGAAGTAATATTTTTGGAGAAGGTTATAGAAAACTCCTCCAATTTTTAAGAGCCATTGTAGTTCACGTAGGACTCAAGTACTCTTTCTAAATTATCAATTGTCTCTTGGTTCCTAATGATGGAGATCAACAATCGTTACCTAACCCAAGCATCTTTGCTCACATTTTATTTATTCGTAGCTAAATGAGGATGATATGCTTTTAAAATTCCTCCACATTCAGGAACCATCTGAGGGAGGAGGGAGGCTCCTCAAGATTAAAAATGTTCTTGTTAGGAAAGTATTTTGCTTTAAGAATTTTAAGCCCATAAGCTCTCACATTTAGTTAAAAATCTTCAACCCAACTTCATAAGGAACACATTGTTTTGGGTAGTCATATCATACAATCCCAACTTCCTAAGACTCCTAGGAGTATATATGGTGTCCCACTTGACTAGGTTGACCTTGCCAACCACAAGCCTCTGCCCCCAAATAAACTCTCTAATAAACTTGTTAAGTTAGTTAAGGACATAAACAATGAGGAAAATAGTTTGCATCAATAGGTTAATAGGTGGATAAGATAGATTTTTCTAATGTCACTCCTAGGTACTTCCTTAAATCATAAGTTTTTATAATAGTATTAATATACTTGATTCTTTTCTTCTACCACACCTCATATTTTTGGAGAAGAAGATCCTTAATTTGAAAAGGTTTATTCTCTGGCGCGACCTTGAAAGAAAAGAATTACAGCAACTCCTAGTAACATTCATTTAAATTCTAAAGGCTTCTGTAAAAATGATAAGATCATCAACAATGAAGAGGTGAGATATGAGGGGCCATGTCGACCCATCTTCATAGGTCCCTGGACATTCTGATCTACCTTTCATGAATCATATCATTTAATCTTTCCATACAGAGGATAAACAAATAAAGGGAGAGGGGCCACTTTGTCTAAGCCCATGAAAAGGCATCAAGGGATCCGTGACACTATCGTTCACTATAATATGTGTGGATGTAATTTTGATACAATTGCATTATGGATTTAATCCATTTTGGAAGAAGTCTTATGTTCAAATTTATATTTGAAATAGGTTGACAATAGATTCTTTCAAAATTGACTATTTATCCCTCTATTAGAGGTGTTTTAAAAATATCTGCAATCGAGTGAAATAGTTCCACGAACTAATGAATCAGATCGGGTTGTAAAATGAAAATATTTGTATAAGTTATATCTTTTATCACCACTTTGTAGAAAATTGTTAAATATGAATATGTTAGATACCTACTACTCGATTGATGAATGTGAAATAGTATCTCTTTTCAAAAAAATATGTTTTTCTTACCACTGTATGAAGAAAATATTTTATTACGAATGGACAAGGTATTGAAGAATTGTCCCTGTATAAAATTATAATTATTTATATGGACCTTTTCCATATAAAATTTGTTACAATAAAAGCAGAAGTGATGTAGATTATTCTGACAGGATCCCTCGAAGATCTCAACGGATCCTTATCCCCAATCTACGGTATGGGGATTAAGGATATTATGCCAAGCTGAAGAATCGGTCCTCCATCAGCATGACCAGCTTCCTCCGAGATTTCCTCCAATAACTACATCCACGAGCAGCAACGGGAACCAACTTCAGCTACCACGATATGTTCCACTTCAGCTACCCACCATGATCTACTCCACTACTTTATCCATTAGCAGCATTTACATTCACATGTAATTTTCTTTTTATCCAGTCTGTAGAAGTAGGAAATTTCTGTTAAACTCTTATGTATTTAAAGAACCCACCATGAATGCAAAAATAGATCAACTTTATTTTGAAATTCTGGATTTGTTTCTCACTAAAATAGAAATAACTAGCCAAGAGTGTACACTCTGATTGGGACCTATCAGTGGTATCAGAGCCTGGACATCATGGCATCCAACAAAGAGATGATTGAAAATATGGAGGTTGGGCTCGGGGGACTATAGTATAGCCTTAACCGCATGGAAATTAGCTTGACCAACAAGATGCGGGCGATGGAGGAAAATATCCAATGCTTAACCGAGACGCTTGCCTCTCACCACAGTGCCTCCAGCATCAACCAACTGAATTGACCGAGCCCGCCGTGGGTTGTCAGAGAGGAAGATCTCAAATGGGAGGATTGAAGGCCACTTGTAATTTTAAAGGTAACCAAATTTGATTTTTCATTCTTTTGCAGGTGGAGATCCCACCAAATGGTTGAATAGAGTCGGCCAATTCTTTGAATTCCAAGCAACCGCCTAGCAACACCAAGTCACCTTAGTATCTTTCTATCTAAAGGGAGAAGCTAACTACAGATGGCAGTGGCTAAGTAGAGTGTACAAAGAGGAGGGTCGGCTCATTTGTTGGATCGGGTTCGAAAAAGAGCTCTAAGCTCGTTTCGGGCCTACAGATTTTAAAGACGCATATGAAGTCCTCATCAATATTAGCAGACGAGCCCACTGCGCAAATATCAAAAAAAGTTCGAAAGGCTGGGAAATTGGGTCCGCGGATGGACCAGAAGGCACTGATCAGGGCCTTCATCAGTGAGCTCAAACCTGATTTAGCAGAGGGAATCTGCATGTTTCGACCTAGTACCTTAAAGGATGCAATCGGGTTGGCTCGAATGAGAGAAGAATAGGTGGACCGCCAATGTCGGGGGAATCATTCAAATCAAATTCAGACCAAGTCAAACTAGGGTCTTCAAGTTGTCTCCTCCATGCAAACCCTAGTGACCCTAAACTCCTTCAAGCACCTCTCTTGAGAAAAAATTTAGCGACGGCGCTCCCAAGGGCTCTGCTTTAGTTGTGACGAATGGTTTACTCCCGATCACTGCTGCCGTAAGGCCCAACTTTTACTTATCGAATGTGCCGGTACAGAAGAGGAAGAAGAAGAAGTCAAAGTCGAAGAACCCGAGATGTTGAGTAACCTTTATCGTAAATTATACACAGCTAATGCTTTATTATTAAGACACAGAGGCAAGTAAAGACATAAATGGGAACTAAGAGAGTTGTGGATTTAAAATAAAAGAGAAACCAAAATCCAACCGTGTATAACAAGGAAAGAGCACTCAAAAACTAAATATCCTCCAATATCAATTTTTGATCAAGATACCACGAACCAACCTTCTTGAGAAAACAACATAGTACGACAATTAATAAATTTAGATGATCCAACTTAGCCTAATCAAAACTTCAATAGTCCATATAGATCTAGTAAAACGAATTAGATGTAACAACATGTTCTCCAACATAACCAAACCTCAGAAAAAATATGTATGCACGATAAAAAAAACCCTTATTAAAATGATTATCTTTCTTGTAAGTTAAATTCCTAAAGAAATAGAATATTCGGGAAGCATGATTTTATCGTTAAAATAGTAACGTGATAACCCAATAAAATGATTCTCTTATACCTAAGAGAATAACGAATTTCATCCAAGATAAATCTCCAAAGTAAACAATATTAGAGTAGCACAACGAAAGCATGGGGGATCCATAACCCATAACATATAAAAGAATGCTTTCTAAACCAACAAATGAATAATTAATAATATGTCAAACACACGAACCATACCTAAAAATAGTTGTTTGAAACTTTTGAAAACTATATAGTATCCAATTAGGGAAGGATTTAGATTGGTGGAGAGTGTAACCCATGTTAGTCAGGCTATTAATAGACTCATCTAACAAAGACTCTTAACGGTTTTTAGTAATAAAGATGCATCCCATAACTCACCATATAAGTTTTACATGACTTCATAAAAACCTGACGGAGTAATGAAACAGTTTAGACATCGTTCAAATTTTAATGAATTTAGAGGAGCAATATGACTCCGCCGAGAATAAATTGCTTAGCCACCAAAAAGTATCCCTTTTCTCTTATATTCTACTCTTTACCGCTGATTAGACTTGACTTGGTCTTAGACATTCAGTGGTTGGAAGAACTAGGTGCGTTGGAGTGTGATTGGAAGGCCATGACGATGGCATTCCAGTGGCAGCGTCGACCACATAAGCTTCACGTCCTAAGCACCCCTACAATCCAGTCTGCTTCATTGGAGGATCTCAGCCGCTCTCTAGCCAGCCCATACTCCCTGTATGCGGTATGTTGCCTTTCTTAATCCAACACTGATTGAGACACCCTATTCCCAGAAATGCAACAACTGGTGGAAGAATTCTAGCTGAGCTTGACTGCTAGCTACTGCCCAGGGAGGTTGACCACCGAATTCTTCTCAAAAACGACATCAAACTGGTGAATGTTGGACCTTACTAGTATGCATATTTTTTAAAAACTAAAATTGAGAAACAGGAGAATGATATGCTATGTTCGGGTCTTATCCGCCCAAGTACCAGCCTATTCTCTTTACCGATTCTCCTAGTCTACAAGAAAGATGGTACATATTGTTTCTGTACTGATTATCGGATCCTCGATACAGTGACAGTGAAGGACTGGTTTCCCATACCCACGATAGAAGACATGTTAGA